GCAAGCGGGAATCGTTGCATGGCGGCGGGGTGCTGGACTCCCGCCCAGATAGACACCTCACGAGCATGTTATTATGGCGATATTACGCGCAACTGGGAGCATGACTGTCTTTTTGTGAGGTGGTGCCGTGGCACGGTCGTGAGTTTAAGCTGCAGCCTTGCGCGCTGACGAAGTCGACAGCAGCCACTCTCTTCACGGGCACTTGGGACGGCGACGGTGCAGGGACACACTAACGTGGGCTGTGGCTGGCGTTTCACTGTTATACAAGGTATTCGCCCGAGTCGGTGGCACGACAAGAGCAGCGGTAGACCGTCGCGTACGGAGCCATCACCACACAGGTATACGGCGGTGACAAACAGCAGAATATGCATACACTTCGTACCTATATAAAGCTGTTTGTCTCCCACGCAGGTAGATTCTTTACGGGGAAATTCTTTGCGCTTGTTGGACACTTTGCCCCGAATTTCCCATGCCTCAGAGTGATGTGCGCTCGCCCTCGGAGGAACCGGACGACGCCGTCCACGTGAAGGAATTGGACGAACCAGTACCCTTGGCCACCTTCGCGCCCTGCACGGCGACCTTCGTCCGGGTCTTATGCAACGGTCCCTTTACTGTGACGCCCTTTCTCGACGGTACTGTCGCAAGATGATGCCAGTATTATAGTTGCTGCTGCAATTCTGCGGTAGCGGCAGCGCGCCGAGTTAAGGATGGAGCTTCCCCGCTGCGCTGCGTGCCGTGCCGTGCCATGCCATTTACTTGCCGTGGGTCGGCATCTCCACGGACGGAAATCAGAGACACAGCTCTCACCGGTCATGCAACCTCGATAGAACGGGGTTATGATTAGCTCTGCATCACTTGCATTCGAACAGGATGGACTAACGATACATGCCGTTACGGTACGCCCGATCCAAGGACCGCATGCGGACCTGGAACCATTTACGAGTTCCTCGTCTAGCGAGGCGTTGCATCAGACAGCACGTCGAATTTCTTCGCACCAATGGCATGATGCCTTGCCCGAGACATATTACTGGACGTTTGCAGCCATGTCTTAATTCCACACTTGGCAGGCAGGGCGGCTGGAGCAAGTGTCGCTTCAAGGGGAAGTCACAGCTAGCCTCTTGACTGAACCATTCTACAGCTGTCGGGCGCAGTGTCGTATTTGTGGCGCTGGATGTCCGCCTGAACAACAATGTTCCGCTCCAAGACAAGTGCACCGCTTGTGGGAGTACAGCTGCACTGCCAAGCAATACGCATTGGAGCCTTACCAGCACCCATACATTGGCCCACGGTTCCGTCAGTTGCATAGTCCGTTACATCGGGCGATTAGCGCGGCCGTCCTATTTCCGAGTCTTATTATCGTAACCAACCTTGCGGCATTTTGTGATACGAGCGGAAACTGCGGCTCCATGAATGTCAGACTCAGTATACTTAACTGTCGACCACTTTTTCAAAAGAATATTGACTTTGAGAGAAATTGAAGCAATATTGATGGAGATGTGCGTGGTTGAAATTGGAGTAGCGGTGAGGTTATCGCGCTTTTGCGGGTGCCGAAAAGTGGGGGCTGCCGTTTTCTATGTGCAGGGACTTGTTGACGAGAAGCCCTTGAATTGGTGCGCAGGATCTTGTACCGGTTATGGATGACGGCAAGATTCGCTCGACTGGCATCAACTTGCAGCTGGGAAGGTAGACGCTCCAGACTATTTCAGCTACCGCACCCACGGCGGGTTGAGTCAACAAGTCCGGAGTGGTCTTTACGTGCAAGAATCCTTGTATTACCACCTAACTGAGAGGACAATCGGTACGATTGGCCTCGATAGAGTAGCGGCATATTGTAGTATGGTAGCCTCTGCATTTGCATTACAGCGCAGGGAAAACCTTAAGCCGTGGACAAAAACCTGCGCGGAGGCTTGCCGATTCAAGCAATTGAAAACCTACGCCCACGATTGGGAACGTTCCCCGCAATGTCCGTAACGGTTGGGCCCGCGTGGGTCTCGGCTCCGCTCTCGACCGGGATCCACAGCAGCTCCGGAGCTCCGCTCAAAACCTCGTGTTCCTTTCTGCAACTTTCTCTTCTTTTCTTTCTTTCCTTCCTCTCTCGTTAGCCTTAGGATACTCGTTGCAGTCGCTCAGCTAGTTGTCAACACACTCAGTTGAGACCGTTACAATGTCCTTCCTAGGACCTAAATTTTCTACTATTAGATCCTAGTTACGAGAAACCAGATAGACAAGGATGGCTTCTCCCGGGCAACGCAATGCTCCCCCTTCCACGCAACGCTTTCCCTTCCACGCAACGCTTTCCCTTCCACGCAACATTTTCCCTTCCGCGCAACGTTTTCCCTTCCGCGCAACGCTCACGCAACGCTCATTCATGCACACATACTCTGAGCCCCCTCGCGCGACTAGCGACCCGGTCCAGCACTTGCGAGTCTCCTCCTGACCACGGATACGAGGTCGGAGCTTCCTATCATGGAACCCGGGCTCTGCATTTGTGGCAACTCTACACAGCAAGTGGCCACAGAAGTCATCGGAGAAGGCGCACTTTCGTTGCTGCGAAACTATCCTCGGTGGCGAGGCGTGGCTGAACCACCACAACACAACAGGCCATAACGGTGAAATAGTGAGCACATGGACAAAGAGACAGGCTCGTTATCGTGAGAAGGTAGAGTGCGAGCTCGGGTGCGGGTTGACTCTCCAACGTGACAGGATGAAGAGACATCACAAATCAGAGCACTATATAGGTACACCGAGTGCGATCGAAGATTCATCTCCACCGGCAAGAAAGAGCACGAGCACAGCACTAAGCACGTTTCTTACATGGTGGTTCCTTCACTTGACCGGGGAGCACGCAGGTGCTGTGGCGGCGGCGGCATTGACACAGAGGACATACGAGTCCAGAATGCCTCGCGAGTCCCCTGGATGCCCATTGAGTTGATGCGGATCGCTTCTTACTAAAGCGTTTTGGCGAATGCCGAGGCACCTGTGCTTAAGGTGTGTAGGTGGCCCTGCTGGCTGCAGAATAGCAGGCATTGTACTGGAAACAGCTCCTGTACATAATCTATCTTGGTCATGTTGTTGCCCGGTAATGCTAGATGCTTGATGATCGGCGTACAACATACGAGACGCCATTCGGCGCACCATACAATTCACCAGCAGATACCAGCTGATTTCCTACACTTGAGCAAGCGCTTGAGACTAATCAGTTGGGACCGCCAGCCCAGCGCGGTCAATGCCTTCTGTGGTCAATGCCTTCTGTGTGATCACAGTAAAACGATCATGATCACCGACGATGGCCTGCGACAGTTGCTGCTGAACGAGCCGCGTGGCCGGGTGTCGCTGAGCACTAACCTGATCCTTCCCCCGACGACTCAAAAGCAAATGCCGGCCTTCTTATCATGATGAGCGAAGGCTGCGTGCCGATATCCGGCTCTAACGCAATTTGCGCTACGTTCTCTTCCCGTGGAGTACGCCCAACAACCCACGTTGGTGATATGTTGCCGTCTAGGAAAATCCATGCGATAATACCAATGGCGAGGTTCGCGGCAATCTCTTCCCATATCATGTATACATACGCACTCGTCCATGGGCGCTTGTTTCGTTGCGTTTGCTTGATGGCCTGCCAGACAGTGGGGAAGCCGAATCCAAGAGTAAAGCCGGCGGCCAAAGAGGCCAACTGGATATCCCCTTTCGATGCCATCAGACCTGATTTGGCCGAAGGAGTAAAGGTTCGAGAAGTTGACCGTGCAGTGCTTCGTAAGAAGCGAACTGGACGCGAAGGGGCCTCGGATGTCGCTTGTTATGTATCAAGTGACATGCTGCGAGTATGAAGGAGGCGTCCTCGGCCAACCTGCTTCTAGAGCATTGCCCACTTCAGTTTGCAGGGCACCAACGCGCCGGTTCGCAGTGCCACATGACGGGGGCATGCAAGCCATGGACACGGACCTCCACCAAGTTCGTCGTGAGGGGATCCTCGTCGATCAAGTTGTGTCACGGACTCACGGGTACGGAAGGAAAGTAAAACGCCTCCCCAACGATCGTGTCTGATGGGTAGAACCCCTGACACACGCAACACCACAAGCAGGGCGGCCACGACTCCTGCGGCACCAGACAGAAACAGAGGCGGGGGTAGACAAAGGACGTTGTGCGGCTGAGACCAGAAAATTGGCAAAACTCAATTCTCATCCAGCAGTGGCTGTTTTGCCCTGGCTTGCAACACGCGAGTGCCTCCCCCACAGAGCCTCTGGCCTGCCTCCCAACGAAACAGCCACGGAGCCACGTCCTCGTGGTGGTTGCAGACTCTGGTCGAAAAACGTGGCAAGCGCCGGCAAACTGAACAACGCCTGCTGGTTGAGCAGAGCAAGGATCGCCAGGATGGTGCCGGCGATATTTCCGCTAAAGAAGTAAGCCTCCTCTCGGTGGGTTGCCTCATTGAGGAACGTCTGAAATTGCTGTTGGGCGCCCCTCTGCGGGGAACAAACACGGCTTCACGATACCGAACCACAACATGGGATCGCTGGTCGCTGCCGACACGCGATCGAGTGGCCGCTTCTCACGGGCGAGGGTTCACAGCGAACAAGGGGCCTCGGGGCGGAGAGATGCATCAGTGATGGATATTTCATCGGCGAGGCATGGACAATGAGACGAACATCCGTGCATGCACGGCATTGCCAGGACCTCAATCGTCCCACTCCACCGACAAGGGAATACACGCCGAAAGAACGCATATGACCAAGTTGGGGCAATGGTGCTCTTGGTCTTCAAGAACGATCACTGTGAGATTCTGGCAAGTGCTGCGTCGTCCCATCAGCTGCTCACCGGCGGTCGTAGATCAATGCTCCCGGGCCTCTGTCATTGACGTTTGCATCGAGTACGTTACATTTTGTTTATTGCAGTTACCGCCAATGCAGCCGTACGCGAATTTGGGGCAACGACTGTCATGGTCCGGCCCCTTGCCATGGTCGCGCGTGGCCCGAAACGCCCCTTGCAACTTGCAACGCATCTGATCACCCGCAGCCCTCGCCACTAGCAGTGGATGCCCCTGGTCCTTCTACCCTGCCCCTGCCACATCGAGTCATGATGGTGGTAGCAACCACCATCGCAACCACAGTGGCCGCGACCGCACAACTCAGGCACATCACGAATCCGTCTGTGATGCCGCCCATGTACGCTTTGAGTACTGCTGGTGCGTCGTCGCCAAACGTTTCTCGTATGTTAAGGGCGCCATGGTTGAGCACGTCCAGACCGTCGAGATTCGGGGCCACGCGAGCCAAGGTGCGCACCAGGCCGTTCGCAAAGATGGCCTGACCGGCTGACATGAAGACGGCGCCGCCAGCCAGCTCGAAGAACATGGTCAGTCCGACCGTGGCGGAAATGTCTTTCAGGGGGATTGCTTTTTGGTTCGCCACTAAGGGAACTTCCATGGCCATGCCGATGCCAATGCCGATGACAGCCTGGTAGCCGATCCAGCTCGGCGCAGGCGAGTCTGCGTCGAGCATGTAAATTAACGCGGCTCCGGCGACTGAGATCATGGAGCCCAGGAGAAGAGGCTGTGTCCAGCGTCCAGTTCGTCCCATGAATGATGTGGACAAGACGGTGAACAAGGAGACGGCCACAACGAGCGGCATATTGCGCAAGCCGCTTTCCTCGGCGCTCACTCCCTGAATGGCCTGGAAGTAGACGGGGAGGAAGTAGAGGAGCGGGAAGTAGGTCCCCGAGATGAAGAAGGTATAGGCGCAGTTTGGCCACACGGGCCACTGTCTGATGAGCCGAGGCGGAATAAGCGCTCGTTCGCCCATGGACCATTCGTTGAGCACCAAGCCGCCCAGAAAAATGACGGACAGAGCCAGCAAGACTATAATGTAGTCTTCGCCCCACGGCACAGATGTGCCACCGTACTGCATCGCCAGGGTGAAGCACACCACCGAAGCCGTCGTCAAAATGTTGCCCAGTAGGTCCAGTTCGAGCAACACGCTTTTCCACGAAAGCACCTTTTGCGCCCGCTTCGCAGACTCTGGGGTTGCAAAAAAGGTAAACAGGCAAAGCAAACCGAGCGCTCCGATGGGCAAGTTGATCCAGAATATCCAGCGCCAGGATAGGTGGCTCGTGAGCACACCCCCGACAAGTGGTCCGACCACACTTGCGCAGCCGAATGTAGTCCCGATGATGCCGATGCATACTGGCCGCCAGTCCTCATCCGTGATGAAAGCGATAATGGTAAAGACTCCTCCGATGATACCAGAAGCGCCGACGCCTGACATGGCACGGCCGACGACAACAGCCGCGCTGGTTGGCGCCGCAGCTGACACGACGCAACCAACCTCAAAGATGAGAATCGACACGGCAAAGGCCGTGCGAAGGTCAAAGATTCCATACGCCTTGCCCCAGGTTGCCTGGAAAGTGGTCTGGGTGAGAAAGAATGCGGAGCCGTACCAGGCGATGTCGCTCAGGGACTGGAACGTGTCGCTGATGGCAGGAACAGCCGTGGCCACTATGGTCATATCCAGGGCTGCGAGGAAGCAGCATAGCATAAGGCTCCCGATGATTGCGAGGAACCTGAAGCCTTTAGGTAGCTGCTCGGTCTCGACATCGCCTGAATCGTGGCGCTGGCATTCTGCTGCAGCGTCGGCTCGCCCGGGCTGAAGAAGGGGAGCTCTCTCGTCAGGCATGCTGTCCACGGGCCAGTTCAGAATAGGGCAATACGACGTGACAAAGTAAGGAAATACGATTTGGAAATAGGTTGGTCTTTGTCGTGGCCGGTATAGACTGTTGGCTGCGTTATGGTTTGGGTTCAAACGATCATTGATGAATAGTGGTAAGGTCGACACCAGATCCAGAGTTCTTGCGGTCACGGGGCCCCTGTGGCAAAGTCCTCGAGCGATAGGCAAGTACGATGCAAGCCTGCCGGTGGAGGATTCAGTATGCAGCCGCGTAATTTTGACAACCAACGAATAGTGGGGTATACAGTACCTGTGGCCCGGGTACTTCATGCGACCGACATAATGTCCTCGCAGGCATCCCGTCTCAAAGCTTGACCAGCGGCATCTCTCCTGGCCTGCAGGCTCGGCATTAGGTCCGCGTCTAACCAATCGACGCATCAGAGCGATTCAATATTGATTCGTGTGCCGTGCTGCTCCCTTGGCTGTTGTGAGTGCTCAGGGGTACCATGAACCGTTTCCGCAAAGGATGAAGTAGCTGCATAGCTGAATGCAGCTGCTATCATGGTTGCACAAACTTTTCTCGCGAATGACGTGAAAGACATCTCGTCAACTGTTGATGGCTCGATGGCTGGTGTTGTCCGATCGATCACGCCCAATGTCCTTCATTTGGCGAAATGAGACAAAAGGATCGGCATGAACAGGGTTGGGGTTCAGCGCGGCCCATCACATTCGGGCGTCAATGCAGTAGGGCTTTCCGAAACGACGTGCCGCTTGAAGAGGTCACCGGTGGCTCCATACATTGCTTTTGTTCTTCTCAAATAGGTAGGCGAGGGTACTAGTCCCGAGCTGAGTAGGACGAAGAAGGTCAAGACTTGCAGCCAGGCGGCCGGGGAACGGTTCATGCCGCTCCGCATAGCCACCGCATAGCCAGACGTGAGCCGCTCATGGAGACGGCTGAAGTGCTGGTCGAATGATTGGGGTCTCAGGCCAGCAGCAGTTCCCTCTCTTACATGGGTTCAACGAGTTGCGGTGCTGCGGAAAGCCACGGGCATGGTTCACAGCGGCCGACAGGCCAGATCTGATCCGACATATTCGAGGAGAGACTGATTGTGGCATACCAGGTAAAGGGTGATACAAGCTGCCGACCTTAGAGCCGAAGGGGCAGTACTTTACGCCTGGACGTGATATATAGCTATATAGATGCAGTACTGTCCTGTTATAGCAGTTCTTGTGGCTTTTGGTCCAGTGTGTTAGGCTCACTAGGACCTTGAAAACGTACATGTCCTCTTCCGTCGAAATCACTGGACAACTTCTTCCACCATGCCCGAAATCTAACACATAGCTCTCATTGGCATCGGCCACAGGGGTTACAAGACGCACTTTGCCAGTCTCCACGGATCGCCTTCCGAGTCCATTGTCGCTGTCTGCGATTCCAATAAGCAGACGCTCAGTCAATTCTCTAGCAAGCATCCTGACATCCCAGCCTACGAGTCCATCGACGATCTACTCGCCCAGCACAAGCCCGACTTTGCGCTTGTGTGTCTGCCGCACACTGTCTACGGGAAGTGCATCGATGCGCTTTCTGCAGCAGGTGTTCCGATTCTCAAGGAGAAGCCGGCGGCCAACAACCTTGACGAGTATGAAAGCTTGCTCAAGCTGCCAGTGCCGATTGGTGTGACCTTTCAGAAGAGGTTCGAGCCGCGATACCACCAGCTTGTCAGCCTTCTGCCTCTTCTGGGACGCGTTGTCTCCTTTCGTGCAGTCCTGGCACGAAACATTGAGAATCTTGCGTCGAGTTGGAGAGCGTCGGGAGTCGGAGTCGCTGTAAGCTTTGCGCCGAATAATTTCCTGTCGATGCTGCTTCCCTGACTCATTTGCTAATCGGATGCAGGAGGATCTGGGCATACACATGATTGACATCATCATCTGGCTTTTCGGGGAGCCAGATTCGCTCAACGCCGTCAAGATTGACGCTGTGCGGCAGTTTCAGAAGTACAGTGGTGACGATATTGCCGACATCTCCTTCAAATGGAACGACAAAGCCCTCATCGGTAACGTGCACCTCTCTCGTGTCGCCCACGCCGATGCGGAGTCAATCACCATCACTGGAACAGCCGGAACCGCAATACTCAATGATCGCACAGTCACTCTGGTGGACGCTAGCGGGACCCAGATCGTGTCGGTCGATGACACATCATCGAAGCAGATGGTCGTCAGAAGGATGGTGCGAGGCTTCGGCGACTTTCTTCATGGAGTGACCACTCGCTACGACAGCTCGCTTGAGAGTCACCGAAGCACTGTTCGAGTGCTGGATGCAGCGAAAGTCTCGTTTCTCTCTGAAAGGGGCGAATACGTTCCCATCGGCTGCGAAGGGAAAGAGCACTGCCCCTGGCCCATCATCACGCCAGAGATCGAAAAAGCCATTGTCGGCCAAGCTCATTCCTCGCTCTCCATATACAATCGCTCTAACATCTATGAGACGTTTGAGGACAGGTGGCGCAGTCTCCATGGCGTCAAGCATGCGCTCGTCTGCAGCTCCGGAACGATTGCCATCCTCCACATGTTCGAGGCTCTGCAACTGCAGCCCGGAGATGAAGTTCTGTGCCCCGTGTACACCTTCTTCGCTACGGCCACTCCTATGTTGCAATACGGTGCGGTACCTGTCTTCTGTGACTCACTGGAAGATGGGAACTTGGACCCGGACGAGATCCTCGCCCGTAGCACGTCCAAGACACGGGCTGTGATAGTCACTCACATGTGGGGCCTCCCCTGCCGCATGAAGAAGATCGCTGAGAACGCCCGGTCGGTCAACGACGGCATCAAGGTGCTTGAGGACTGCTCTCACGCACACACAGCCATGGTGGATGGCAAGATGGTGGGCACGTGGGGCGACATGGCGGCATGGTCGCTGCAGGCAAAGAAGAACATCACGGGCGGCCAGGCTGGAGTGTTTGCCACCAACTCGACCGATTATTACGCGCACGCTATCATGCATGGCCACTTCAACAAGCGCGCCAAGCAAGAGGTCCCCGAGAGCCATCCTCTTCGCAAGTTCTGGCTGACCGGTCTCGGCTTGAACCTCCGTGCTCACCCACTCGCCATTGCCATGGCCAACGTTCAGCTGTCGAACCATGCTGTCACACAGAAATGGCGCGAGCACTGGGCCCGACGCATTATCAGCCACCTGCAGGTCATCCCGTTTCTCCGCATGCCTAACGTTGCCAACCAAACGACGGATCAGCATGCCTGGTACGCGTTTGTGATGCAGTTTGATGCATCGCAAGCGCCTGCAGATCTCAGTCGCGACAAATTTGTCAAACTCTTAACCGACAAGGGTCTTTCCGAGGTGGACATTCCTCGCAGCACCGGCCTGCTGAACAGTCTCCCGCTTTTTACTGAGACAGCCAAGGCGCTTCCCCGGTTCGGCACGCCGGGGCCGTGGGGGAAGCCACAAGACACAAGCGAGTTTCCGCGGGCACTAGCTTTCTACGACTCTGCCATCAAGCTGCCGATGTGGTCGCGAGGCCAGGACGAGGCGATCGTTGATCGATACATCAATGGATTCGTCGAAATTGCTCACGAACAGCTCCACGGCACGTCATTCCGCGCGCCGAGGCGCAACACCATTCAGGCTAGGCTTTAGACTATGTAATTTATGGTCTGTCTACATGTGAACATGACACCATGTCCCTCGTGTCTCCAGTCTTGTGCGGGTCTCGTGCCCAGTGAAATCTCAACCATATATCTCCCTAGCCTGACAATGGTGTGGTGCAATGGGAATTGTAGCTCGTACCGGTGAAGCTGAAGGCTGAGACGTAAAGAATCGCAAAATTAGAGACTCGGACAGTAGATGCATGCTTGCAGGGGCGGTCACATCAATAGTATTATCAATGGAATTACTGTACTCGCACGCAACCCGCGCTTACACAGTATCCTGCACCGTTTTAATATCGCTAATGTGCAGGCGGTGGAGAGTTGCTGGGGCGGTATACCGATCCGACCAAATCATAGTTCATGGTTCCTGATGACGTTCGCAGCTGTGCCTCTTGTCTCACGATGCGTGCTGCGTCGACAACACATCCTTGGCAACAGGGACCAGTACAGCGATGTTGCGAACCTTCGTGCACATTGGAGTCAGTCGTCATAATTAGGATCAAGTGTTATGTAATTTGTCCCAGGGCACGCGGCACTGTTCCAAGACATGCATGCAGGCTGAATGCTGCGCTCACATCCCCGCCCGAAAGTATCTGGTACCAGCCCTCAACGTTCTCAGCTGAAATAGGAACTCGCCCGTACAAAGATAAGCGTGCAAGGGCTTCCGGGGGTCTCGGCGCTTCCGTCACACCGCCCCCTCTCCTGGCCGCTTAGGTGCTGTGTTGGGTGTTGGTTCTTAACCGTTGGCGCCAAAGGTTACATGGCGTCACACCGGAGATTTTTTGGGGGCAATGTCCGGCGTGCGCGGCTGAGGCCGGTGCTGACCTGCTGACTGTGCTGTGCGTAGGAACCGCGGCACGGCTTTTTCCAGCAGCAAGATTTGTTTCCAGAATTAACAACAGGCGTGGTTCACGGGAGTCCAGTCCTCGACTTGGACCCTTCGCGTGGAAGCTCTGCAGAGACTTGAGGCTGCAGCCGCCTAATTGCAGCAATGGCCCTCACGGAACTGGTGTTCTTGCACTTCAATGACGTTGTAGGTGCGACTTCTCAACTGCCTTGAGGCGCCGTACTCACCGACCTTCCAGTACCACATTTCCAAGCAAGCAAGAATCGCCCGGTTCTGGACACAATTACAATTGTATCGCAAGAAATACGCCCATTTAACGCCTTACACCATATTCAGCGGCGATGTGTTTTCACCTTCTTTGGAGGCCTCGATCCTTCGAGGCGCCCACATGGTGCCTCTGCTGAGGGAGCTGAAGATTGACCTCGCCTGCTATGGGAATCACGGTACGAAACACCAGTTGACGTTGGGCACCAGCAAGCGAACCTATCCTAACCCAGCTCCGCTCAGACTTCGACTTCGGCGAACAACGATTGTCTGAGCTCACCGCAGAGACGAATTTTCCCTGGCTGTTGTCCAATGCATTTCGGCGCAGCAGCCGCAGCAATGAGTCCGACAGCTGCAACGGAACGGACCGAGGCCATAGCGATGGCCGTCTCCTTGCCGGTGCCGTCAGGTACCACACGGCCGTCTTGCAGGGCTTCAAGGTGGGCTTTTTTGGCCTCGCCGGGACGTAAGACTACCGTCATGATCCAGTCGTCTGAGCTCTGCTGACGCAACGCGATGGCAGCGACTGGCCTTCAAACTGTCGAGAACTCCCTCACTGCACTATCGCGTCGCCGGTCGACGTGTCACGAGCGTGCGCCCGCCATCTTCGCCAAACTGCAAAATGCGATTTCGTCGTCGCCCTCACCCACATGCGCCTGGCCGAGGACATCGAAGTGTCAGAGGCACTTCGCACAGGACCCCCGCAGGAGCGCGTCGACCTATTGTTGGGCGGTCACGACCACGAGCTGCTCCGGCGCTACGGCGGAGAGGTCTCCGCTCAAGGCAAGAACCCAATGGTCATAGACTGCAGCCAATCCAGGCAAGATGGCCTGAAAGGCCCCTTGGGCGAGGTCCCGGAGGCACGTGGTGGCATCAGGATCGTCAAGAGTGGCTCTGACTGGCGCTCCCTGTCCTGCGTGCGACTGCACGTCGGTCGCACGCCTGAGGGTGTCGCCACGCTGCAGTCCGTTGCCGTGGAGCAAATCTTGGACCTGGCAGCCATTCAACTTGACCCAGATGCTCTCTCGGACAGTGAAACGCGCGTGAGGGAGTGCCTCCAGGGCGTCAACGATCGCATCGACGAGCTCGGTGCCGACCCTCTCGTGCAGACGACCGTCGATCTCGAGGGCACAGGCACTATCATTCGTTCGTCAGAGTCGAACTTGGGGAACATGCTGGCTGACATCGTGCGCGCATATTATCTGGTCGACATTGCTCTCGTCAACAGCGGCAGCATTCGCTGCGACAAGGTCATCCGAGCCACGGCCTCTGAATCACAACCGTCTGGATCAGGTAAACCCTTGACAGTACGGGACTTGATAGAGATTCTTCCATTTGACAACGCGCTCATGGTCAAGCGCGTCACCAGCGACGTTTTGTTAGAGGCTCTAGAAAATTCCTTCTCCGATGCGCACACCGACGGACGGTTCTTCCAGTACGCAGGCCTCAATGTTGTCGCTGACTGGAGGAAGCCGGAAGGCAGCAGGGTCCTAGAAGCTTGGGTCTGCCCGAACAGAACAAAGCCAGAAACTCGGAGTCGTATTTGCCGAGGAGATGGTCGCAGCGTCACGGTCGCCATGATTGCCTTCATCGCAGAGGGGTTCGACGGCTATACCTGCTTCAAGGACCAAGAAACATTGGTCACCGAGGAAGGCGCTATCACCGACACGCAGCTACTGTTACGTACCCTCGGATATGGGCATGACGAAGAGATGAATAACCATGACGAGGCAGTGGACGAGGACGAGGCCCGTTTTACGAGGGCGCGCGAGCACGTTGTCACGAAGTGGGATCGTCTCGGCCTACCAATTGTATCACCAGTCATTGAGGGACGCATAATCACGAAAGGCGGCCGGTCAGTGTTGACGTAAGTGGTTGAGTCAACCTTATACACTTGGGGACTTAGCAACTGAACTTCAAAGACATAAATTGTAAAACTTGCGAGTGTCAACCTCGTACAAGCCGCAGTGATGCTTCGAGTATCAGGGGTCCGTCTGGCTCTGCATGGTTTGCAGGACAGGCAAATTATGACCCCAGGATCTGGCATGGGCTACCTATACTTGCTAATGCGGGTTGTGTTCAAGTGAAATGCGTCAGGTCGGGGGATGGGGCCCTTGCTCAACACCAACTGGGCCACAGCTACCGCTGCCGCTCTGATGGATCGCTTGAGCGTTCTCCGTTCGACATTTCCCCAGTTGTCCGAAACGTGGAGCGGCAAATCGTCACGACCTGCAGTGTTGCCCGTAGATATCCCGCAGGTGGGTATGCCGCGCTCGACGAAGCCGATGTGGTCGGACTCGGTGGTGAAGTTGCTACAGCTCAATGTTAGCTACAAAGAGCCCCCTGCATGTCAGTTTTCGAGAGGAAAGACATACGACACTTGAGGAACAACTCCCTGCTTCTGCAGCTGCTCGAAGAGCACAGTCGCGCCGTAAAGGTCGGCGTCGTTGTTCGCATGGACTGTATAATTCGGGTGGGGGGTTCCCATCTGATCGAAGTTGAAGTAGAATGCGATTTTCCTCGCTTCCTCGTCGCTAAGCTTGGATACGTAGTGACGAGAGCCGGCTTGGCCAGCCCTATTCTGTTGTAAGAAAGACGCCGATTGACAATTGTGAGAAGTACGATGCTTACTTTCCAGCCCCCCACCATGCAAATCGCACCTTGTTTGTGATATTCTGGTGTTGGGCAAAACACTGCAAGACCTGTAGCACTGCAGCTGAGCCAGAAGCATTATCATCCAGGCCGGGACCACCCGGGAAGGAGTCCAGGTGCGCTCCAACCATGATGACCTTGTTGGGATCACCTTGCTTGGTCTCAGCGATAATGTTGTGGACCGTTCGGTTCTGGACGACGGTCGTGACTACAAGGGTCGCTGTCATAGCCTGACCCTTTTGAGCGACTCGATCCACTTGAGGCCATTTTCCCTAGTCGTGATGCCGGCTGGCACAACCTTTCCGATGTCCCGTGCCGAATTGACTGCATCGCCGGTGGAAATGCCCTCAGGAGTATCCTGGTAGAAAATGACCGCCCGAGCGCCATGCTTTGTGGCGAGTTCAAGCTTCTTGGCCATAGCGCAGCCGCCTCGGTCCATAGGAGAATGTTGCCCGTGGCATTGACGTTGGCCTTTTCCCACTGGTCTGGTGTGCACAAGGATCCATTGACGTGTTCTGCAAGGGATTGATGAGCCGTCCGAAGACGCCATAGGACGGCGTGGGAGAGTTGAATCTGAGCGAGACAACTTCATCATACTTGGCGGTCACGGTGCTGAGGCTAATTTCGTTGGTCCACTCGAAGGGGTGTGAGAATTTCTGAATGCTGACATCGAGCACTGACTTATACGGCTGCATTTGCCTGATAATGAGGTCCATGGAGGCGTCGAAACCGGGGGTCCAAGGCACTTTTGCCGTCATTACGTTTGGCGATCCTGCCGGAGGCTTCTATCAAATGTTTTGCCCTATACTAGGTCAACGCCAAACCTCGGATGCGCACATGCAAATGCGGAATAAGCGTGCGGAAGGGCATACTGATGGTAATCTACCACGTTTAGCATCTGCTCAGGATCCGTCAGATTCCATGTTTCCAGTGCTCTCCCTCCCGCCAACGTGACATCAGCAAGGCACGCGGCCAGCAGTGCAATGAGTGAGCACTTGGACAGCATCCTGACGTGAGTACCGGTGTCCGCGCTATCGACACCGAGTGGGTGGGATTGTGCGAAGAGAGAACAGAACATATTGGGCCGAGAAACGGAGGCTGTTCGTTTGATGGCGATTTCGAGTAAGTGAGATGACCTGTAGCAGCCGACGACAAGCAGAGACTGGACGGCAGGAAGCGACGGACGCGGCAGCTCGAACGCGGCAGCAGGACATGCCACCAGGCAACGTCAGGAAACCGACTTTAGCTGCGACGTAGCGTGCACTCGAGGAGTGGGCCAAGTCCGCGTGTGCTACGGTGATCGCTTGTCAAGCCTTGGACAATGTCCGCCATCGCCATAGTCGACAAATAGACGGTACAGACCCTGCGACTGCGTCTCGGCACAGGCTCCACGTCAGCGAGCGGCATGTCTGGACCGGACGGCGCCGTCCACATGAAGGAATTGGACGGATTAATGGCATCTTGTCCGTCTTTGCGCCCTGCATGGCGGCCTTCGTCCGGGTCTGAATGTTGGTCGCTAAGGCGGACCATGTGGCCACCGCCATTCCGAAATGATCTGCGCGGCAGAACTGGCCGTCACCATGCAACTACGTTGGGAAGCTGACATGTCCTGAAGCTGCCATACGCGACGCGCTGGACGAAATGGTCTCCCCGTACTTCGCAATGATCTGCACGGCAAGTTCTGGTTGCCGCTACGTACCAATGTCGGGAAACCGACATGTACCGTAGCTGCCAACACGACGCAGAGAGAATTGGTCGGCGCACGTCCGTGCCCTTGGTGGTCTGTATGTCAGGCATCGGCCGAAGCGGGTCGCTGCCGCCGCATCCACTTACATGTTTCACGTCACTGATCGACCAGGTCAGGGAGCGGACAAAGTGAGATGCAGGCAACGGCGCGACAAGTAGCCAACGATCGGTGGGTACGGTGGGGTCCGATTCAAGTGTCCCGATTCAGTGTGTGTAAATTATGGAAACCCCGCCCAAATCCGACCGATGTGCCTCTGAACGACGCATTGTGGATCCCATTTCGGACAAAGCTAGACACAGAAACGTGGACGCTTGATTCGGACCCCCCTGTAATTGCCAGGCGAACTGCAAATCCTCCGTCTCAGCGCAAGATACTTACTGTACTGTGGAAGAGGAGAGAGATACTACTTCATTGATCATAACTATCTTTATTTCTTCATTGGAACTATCGAGGGGTTGGCCGGCTCCTATGATGAGCTCTCCAGCTCGTGTGGGGACGTTGGTGGGGCCGCGACGCGGCTCGGTGACGCCGGTGGGGCGTCGAACCATGAAACGGAAGCTGGACGACAGCGCGAAAGAGCCGAATAAAAGCAGTCGGTACAGCACGAGGGCGACAACGCAGGCAGCGGCCGCGGTGGTCAATCGCGGCCCCGTGGCGGATCAGAGAAATAACACCAACCACGAGGAAGCGACGACGCTGCAGTCGGCACTGGAGTTGCTCGGTGCGTACCGCACCGTGGTCCAAGAGCTAAGAGAAGCCATCAAAGGCCAGAACGAGACCGTCCGCGCGCAGCAAGAAGCGATCCGCGAGTTGAAAGAGGCGGCTGAGGAGCAGCACACTTTGATTCGTGATTTGACCCAACAACTACAAAATAACCAAAAACAGACAGCCGACGACCTGAAGCGCGTTCATCAGCAACTTGAAGCTATCACGGCGACCACAGTCTCTACCCCGCAGAGTTCTTTCACTGACGTCACAAGTTCGTCGCCATCACCACAGTCCACGTACGCCCAAGTTCTCTCGTCCGCCAATACGGCACGGACGACCGCGACAAAAACGTTCCACTGCACGATTGACACGTCCATGGTCGAAGATGGACAAGAGAACCGCATCACTGCTGGTGCGGTTCGCACCCTCGTCGAGGGTGAGGTCCGGGCTGAACGGGATTGTGCCAATTGGCGATGCCGTGCGGTGACCACGGATGCACGCAACCGAACGCGATTTAGAATTATCTGCCGAGACGAAGCCGAGCACCAGCTGGTGAAACGTCTCGTTAGCACGAAGCTGCCGCGAGGCGTGCGGATGTTGCGGGATGAGGTTCACCCCGTCCGCGTGGATCATGTCAACCGGACTGCTGTCCTCGACGAGACGGGTACCGTTCTCCGAGGAGTGACCGAGGCGTTAAGCAAAGAAAACGACGTCCAGATCGAAAAGATCGGATGGCTTAGCCATAGCGACTCGCCGAAGGCATACGGCTCCATGGTCGTGTACCTCACAAGGAACTCGGATGTGAAACGACTTCTAGACGAGCAGTACTTTCATGTGGAGGGAGAATCCGGTACAGTCCATGCTTGGGAACGCCGCTATCGTCCCTTGCAGTGCTATAACTGCCAGCAGATCGGCCACATAGCCAGGAACTGCACCAAGCCCCAAGTCTGCGCCAACTGTGCCACCGAGGGACACGATCACAAGGCTTGTAACGCAACGACGTATAAGTGTGCGCTCTGCGGTGGGCCTCATGAATCGTACAGCAGGAACTGCAGGAAGCTCTACCCTTCCACGCATGAGTAGCACGCTTCGGGTGATCCAGTACAACGTGGCGAAGACCGCTGAGGCGCACGAGAGCCTGATGAATGACAACGCGATTGAGGACGTAGCGGTGCTGGCCATCCAGGAGCCCCAAGCACGACTGATTAAGGGAAATCTTCTGACAACGCCAATGGCGCACCACAAGTGGACGAAGATGGTGCCCTCTACGTATCTGGAAGGGAGGTGGGCGATCCGAAGTATGCTTTGGGTCAGGAACGACCTAGAAGCAGACCAGGTCACCATCGAGTCCCCGGACATGACGGCGGCGCTCATACGTCTCCCCGACCGCCAGGTGTTGGTCTTTTCAGTCTATGTGGAAGGAAGAAATGATCAAGCGCTCACGACGACATGCGATAACTTGCGGAGAGTCATCAACGACACGAGGCGAGACGCTGGCACTGTCGTGGATGTGGTGATTGCGGGCGACTTCAATCGCCACGACCACCTCTGGGGAGGGGATGACGTAAGGCTGGAAAGACAGGGTGAAGCGGACGAGATCATTGACCTCATGAACGAATTCGCCTTCACCAGCCTCCTCCAGCGGGGCACCAAGACTTGGCAACGTGGAGACCACGAGTCAACGATCGACCTGGTCTTGGCGTAGGAGGAGTTGGCGGGCGCAGTGGTGAAGTGCATCCCCCTTGGTACAGAACATGGGTCGGACCACCGGGCTATCGAGATGGTCTTTGACATCTCAGTTCCGGTGCCACCGACTCGGCAACGGCTCCTGTTCAAAAACGCACCATGGAAGGAGATCAACGCTCGAATTGCGGCTTCGCTGGAGGCCACACCAATGGAGGGCACAGTGCAGCAACAGACAGATAGGCTTATGTCGACAGTCCTGGATGCGGTGAACGCCCTGACACCTAGAGCCTGTAACGGGCTGGGCCCGTGTGGGTCTCGGCTCCGCTCTCGACCGGGGATCCACATCGGCTCCGGAGCTCCCTTTAAAAGCTCGTGTTCTGTTCTCGAACTTTCTTCTTTTTCTTCTTCCTTTCTTTTCTCCTCAGCTTTAGGATACTCGTTGCAGTCGCTCAGCTAGTTGTCAAT